GAGCCAACCTCAAACTCTTGAGCTCAAGAGATCCTCTTGCCTCAGCCTCCCAAGTTGCTGGGACTACAGGCGCCCACCATAACACCAGCTAGTTTTTCTATATTTAGTAGAGACAGGTTTCACTCTTGCTCAGGCTGGTCTCAAACTCCTGAGCTGAAGTCATCTACCTGGGTCAGCCTCCCAGAATGCTAAGATTACAGGCGTTAGCCACCTCCCCTGGCCTATTTTCATCACTGCAGAAAGTTCTCTTAGACAGCTCTGCTTTATAGAAAATTTGCTTTGCAATGTAAGTAATGATTTGTTAACAGTACATGAAGAGTCTAGGAAAAAAGGACAGTAAGAATTCATTAACGTATTTCCAAATGAAGTTCATACCACTCACCGGGAATAGTAGTTTGGCTGGCTCATTTCTAGCCACCTTCTGTCACAATCATACACTGCATTTCATTCCCCTCTGCCTTATTTCTTCTTAACCAAACCACATTTTTAGTAACTCAACTACTTTCTATACTGCAGCTAACCAGCTAAGGATTTTTTACCAAAAGTAAACGGTATTCTAGTTTGCAAATCAAGTTCTTAAGAGTTTGGTAAATGCTTCCCTGAACCTGACCCCCAGGGAGCAAATGATCACCATCTCTAAGAACCAGAAGCTTCGCACTATGGTTACAGCAGGGATTACCACCTGCCTACAAGTTTCCTCAGTAACACAATGCTGATTTTATCAAGTTTGCTGCCTTCCTTACAGCTACATTGCAATTACATGCCTCCATGTAGTTTGAAGAGCTCCTTAGAAGGGAGGCACACAACGGAATACACCTCTTTTCCATCATTATATACTATATGGATGGTGGGGGGAAAAAAGAAGAGCCTGGGTCTCTGATGTCCACGGAACCACCGTTTATCAGTCTGGATTACACAACCCTGAATTTCCTTTATGTGAAAGAATAAGCCCTCTCATATGTTCAACCATTGTAGTCAATCCTTAACTGAAAAATGAAGAGCCCTTCTCAGAGGCTTTTCTCACATGAAGACTTGTGTGAAGAGGCTAGAAGACATTCTCTTTGAGACCTCTTTAATTGGAAGTGATACCAAGTCATCTGAGTTGTAAAACTGAGGAAAATCTTAGATTTTGTTAGAAATCACAGCCTAAATCATTGTAAGGAATAAAATGTTTAATCCCATAATAAAAGCTGCTCAACTTAAAGGCCAAACCCTTAACATTTTGTCAGCGACTTGCAATTAGTGACTAATCTTTCCCTAACAAATTGTGTTCCTGGTGTTCTAAGATATATATGTTTTTTTTTTTTTTTTGGAGAAAGAGTCTCACTATGTTGCCCTCAGGAGAGGGCTGTGGCATCACAGCTCACAGCAACCTCAAACTCTTGGGCTTAAGCAATTCTCATGCCTCAGCCTTCCAAGTAGCTGGGACTATAGGTGCCCACCACAATGCCCGCTACTAATATATTTTCAAAGTCCAGCACAGATATTCTATTTTATTTTTATTTATATTTTATTTTATTATTTCATTATTTTTTCTTACCCAACACTATACTAATGAGGACGCATAGATTTTCTAGGCAGATATTATTTTTTAGACTAGTCACAGAATTGTCATGAGCTATCAAATATGATTCTGATATTTCTTGGTCAGAGACAGCTCATAAAAAAGAGAAACCAATGTGAAGGTGAGAGGGAAATCTCGTAAGGACAAAGGTGAAATTCTTGCAGTAACCTACTATCAGTGTTGTGATTAAACAGAACTTCTCTAATACAACATGTATCAACTGAATTTCACCTAATATTTCCAAGTAACGTAATTACAGAGTTAAGTGTTTCAGGAATATTTTGAAAATACTGCTTGAAGAGAATTATGGGTACAAATTCAACCAATATATACTAATCACCTATTTCTGAATAATTTGAAAATGGTAAAGCAGAGGAAAATAATTAAATTGTGATATGCCTTGGATAAGCTTTTTTTTTTTTTTTTTTTAGTCTATGTTGCCCTCAGTAGAATGCCATGGCATCACAGCTCACAGCAACTTCAAACTCTTGCTTGGGCTTAAGGGATATTCTGGTCTCAGCCCCCCCAGGTAGCCAGGACTACAGGGGCCCACCACAATGCCCAGTTTTTTTTTGTTGCAGTTCTCATTGTTGTTTAGCTGCCTCCAGCTGGGTTCAAACCCGCCAGCCTCAGGGTATGTGGCTAGTGCCCTACCACTGATTTTTTTTTTTTTTTTTGAGACTGAGTCTCACTCTGTTACCCTGAATAGAGTATAATGGTGCCATCATAGTAAGACTAGTATTCTCAAACTCGTGGGCTTGAGAAACCCTCCTGCTCCAGCCTCCCCAGTAGCTAGATTAGAGACATGCACCACCACACCCAGCTAGTTTTTCTATTTTTAGTAGAGATGGGTCTCACTCTTGTTCAGGCTGGTCTCAAACTCCTGCGCTCAAGCAATCCACCTGCCTTGGTCTCCCAGAGTACTAGGATTATAGCACTGGACAATAATTTTTTTTTTTTTTTGGAAACAGAGTCTTACTTTGAGGATCTTGGTGGTGTTACGGCAGCATAGCTCACCACAACCTCCAACTTTTGGACTCAAGTGATTCTCTTGCCTCAGCCTCTGGAGTAGCTGGGACTACAGGCACTTACCACAATGCCTGGCTATTTTTAAGAGATGGGGTCTTGCTCTAGCTCAGGTTTGTCTCCAACTCCTAAGCTCAAGAAATCCACCCACCTCAGCCTTCCAGAGTGCTAGGAATGCAGGTGTGAGCCACTGCACCCAGCATATTTTTTTGGAAAGAGTCTCACTTTGTCACCCTGGGTAGAGTGCCCTGACATCATAGCTCACAGCAACCTCCAACACTTGGACTCAAGTGATCCTCTTGCCTCAGCCTCTGGAGTAGCTGGGACTACAGGTGCCCACCACAATGTCTGGCTATTTTTGTTTTTTAGAGACAGGGTCTGGCTCTTGTTAAGGCTGGTCTTTAACTCCCAAGCTCAGGCAATTCACCTACCTCGTCCGCCCAGAGTGCTAGGATTACAGGCATGAGCCATGGAACCTGGCCTGAATAATAATCTTTTTACACCATGATAATTGGTGACAACAATCTCACACATCCCAGAAATAATCAAGATCCTTGAGAGAGCCTTCACTGATCATCTTTACATGTCCACTTGTTTTCATATCTCCATCACTCACTTTTAGCTTCCTCCCAGGTACCTAGTGTTCTCTGGAGTGTTCAGTGCAGTCCAGGACCACATCTTCCCAAAGGGTCCCATATCTTGACTCCTATTTTGACTTTTCTATCACACCAATCACCATCCTGTATCCTGCTCTTTCACAAGGGTTGCTCTCGTACTCTGAATAGTTTATTATTGGGCTTATGAAAATATATTATAATCGCCTGATGTGTTAATTTACTAGAATACTAATTTTTTTTCTTTTGAGACAAGGTCTGACAGGTTGCCGTGCAGCAGCATAATCATAGCTCACTTTAACTCAAACTCCTGGGCTAAAGTAATTTTCCTACCTCAGTCTCTCCAGTAGCTGAGACTACAGGTGTCGGCAGCCATGCTAGGCTCATTTGTGTTGCCATTGCTGAGACAGGTGCTACTTTGCTTGAGCTGGCGTCAGACTCCTGGCTTCAAGTGATCCTCCAGTCTGGGCCTTGCAAAGTGCTGGGATTACGGGCCACCAGCTTGGTTAGAATGAGCACTTCTATGAAGGTAGAACAGATGGGTACATAGTGGAGTACAAAGTATTTTTGGCAGGGAACCAACTCTCAGATTTCACATTAGCATGTATCTTTACTCTGAAGCAAAGATGTGACTAAAAGCGAATGTTTTAAGTTTTTTAAAAGTGCCTTCTAATTGAGTTTAAAGTCCTTCAAATAACAGGTGGGGCAAGCGGGGGAAGTTCCCTAACTTGTTTAATCTTTCAGCATCAGGGATAAAACTTCAACTTCATGTTAAACTGACAACATACCTCTTTTTTCAAACAAAGGACATAACGTAAAACTAAATGCAAAACAAAAAAGGAATAACTCCAGCTTTCCAACACATAAATACCACAAAGCTTTCAAATACGGGCCTAAATTGAGAGACGAAAGTTGTGCGAACTCGCGAGACACGGTCCCTCCTTGGTCCTTTCCTTACAGCCGCTGCGACTCCCGCTATTATTCCCCAAAGGCCGAGCGGGACGACTTGGGTCCCACCAGCTGGGCTCAACTGTGTCCCGCAAAGGGGCGTCGGAAACTCTAATTGAAGCAGCCCGGAGGCAAAGGCGGAAAAGTTCTGTAATGTCCGCGGAAGTCAGAGAAGCTAGATCCTGCCCTCATCCTGCGGATAGCCCCGCGGTCTCCGTCAGCTCTCTAGGACCCAACCCTCCCTAAACGCCGACATCTGTAGACATGTCCACCCCAAGAAGGGAGTAACCTAGGCAGGACAGGGGCGGAGCGGAAGCTTGAAGAGCTTTCACCTAGGCCCCACTCGGGCCCGGAATCTCTCGGAGCGGCCTCACGGAGTAGGTCGGCAGTGCCCAACAGATTCCGCTTCCCCGACTCCCCCCAGCTAAAAACCAAGAGCACTCCCCAAGCCCCTACACCCTTAGCTCCTCCCCGCTGCCTTCTTCCCACGCGCCCGGCGGGACGCAGCACCCGACCTGCGCGCCAAGTCCCCGGATTCTCACCGCCCCCTCCCGCCCCCGCGCGGTTCAACGTGCCACGTCACCGCTTGCGGCACTTCCGGAGGCGCAGCGGGCGATGACGTAAGGGACGTGCCCTCTATATGAGGTTGGGGAGCGGCTGAATCGGCCTTTTCCGCCCGCTCCCCCCTCCCCCCGAGCGCCGCTCCGGCTCCACCGCGCTCGCTCCGAGCTCCGGGCTCCTGCAAAGCTAGCGCCGCCGCCGTCTCCCTTCAGCCGCCATCATGATTATCTACCGGGACCTCATCAGCCGTGAGTCCTGACTGCACTGCCCCTACTGCCGCACACAGGGAACTCAGGGGGCGGTGGGGGCAGGGAGGGCAGGCGCAGCGGGCGCCGCCGTCGTGGGCCTGGGGGATGCTGGTGGCCTTTCCGCGAGCGTGGAGAGGGTCAGTGCCTACGGCACGCGCCGGGGTCGCCAGCCCCGGAGGAAGGGCGGAGGTCGAGAGTGCCTGGCCAGTGGGGGAAATGGCGGCGTCTGCTCCCGACCTCGGGCGCTCTCTGACTGGCGGGTCTGTGTCCCCGAACAGACGATGAGATGTTCTCCGACATTTACAAGATCCGAGAGATCGCGGACGGCCTGTGCCTGGAGGTGGAGGGGAAGGTGAGTCGGCCGGGCCTGCGCGTGGGGGAGGCGAGGCAGGGCAGGCTCGGGTTTCCGCCGCTCCCCCGCCCGAGGTTGTGCAATCCTCTCCGCCACCTCCTGGCGGAGGAGACACTCTTTCCGGGCTCGGGTTTTTCTAGAAAAGTGGAGGCGGAGCTGATCCTGAAAATAGGTCCGCCGCCTCGGCGCCCATGCTCCCCTTGAGGCTTCTGGGTTAAGTGTTGTTTCTGGCTTGGGAGCCCTAAGATCTTAAGCACTTCTCATGTCACTTACCGACCGTGACACCTAGATCCCACAAGTGGAAAACTTGTAAATGACCCCGTTTTTGTTCCAATCAAAAATTAATTGTGTTTGAGGTAAGCTTTATCAGGAAATCCACGAGTCACAATTTTTTTTCCTCGTGGTACTTTCCTGGTTTTCAGTTAAAAGTTGGCAAAGTTCATTGAGGGAGTGATGGATGCATGAACTGCTAGTATTAGTGTTTGGGGTTCTTTTTGTAAAGTTTTTGCAACCAAACTGCTTTTTCTTAACGCAGATGGTCAGTAGGACAGAGGGTAACATTGATGACTCGCTCATTGGTGGAAATGCTTCCGCTGAAGGACCTGAGGGCGAAGGTACCGAAAGCACAGTTGTCACTGGTGTTGATATTGTCATGAACCATCACTTGCAGGAAACCAGCTTCACAAAAGAAGCCTACAAGAAGTACATCAAAGATTACATGAAGTCGTAAGTGATAGTTGACAATACCCAGCTGATGTCTAGAGTCTTACAGGATTTAGGGATTGGCAACTTTCTGGTTTGTTTAGGCAGTAGACATACTTGTGAAACTTTATTGAGAAGCCCACAGACAAGGGTTGTTGCTTTCCTGTGTACAGTCTGGTTTATTTTTAGAATAGTACTAGGGAAATAGTTAACATGAAATTGGGAGTTGTGAATAAAGATACCCCTGTGAAGTAGTTATTTTTTAGCAGCTAGTTGATTTCCTTTTTTTAGTGTTACAGAGGTTTTTTAGCTGTAACTTGATTTTACTCACTGCACATTAACCTGTTAATAAAATGTTGTTTTAGAATCAAAGGCAAACTTGAAGAACAGAGACCAGAAAGAGTAAAACCTTTTATGACAGGGGCTGCAGAACAAATCAAGCACATCCTGGCTAATTTCAAAAACTACCAGGTAAATACCTTAAATATTTGGAACATGAGATTGTAGAATTTTAACTGCAAGAGCAAAAGGTTAGTTTTTGCTTCATTAATCTTAATGTAATTAATTGTGGCTTTGACAAGTACTTTCTAGCATCCTTTCATATAACACTGGAATTCCAGGTATAGAAAGTAGCTTCCTCTGCTCTAAAAAAATGTTTACAGAATTTGTCTTAGGTTTCAAAAAATGTCTTTTTTACTCCTTGCTTTTCAGATGACATTTATCAGTTCTTCTTTTCTTGGATTGCTTCCTAATCTCCTAAGAGTTTTTCCAATTTCCATTCATAATTGCAGTGTGTCTCGTTGCCACTGGTGTTCTTTTCTGATATATCTTAGCATGTTGGTCCTATTTTTGGAAAACTTCAGTGACATCTTATCTCTGGGGTTTAATTTAAAACAGCACAATCTAGCTGTTTCATTTTCTAGCTTTCACACGTACCCTGGCCATACTCTTATCATTGTCAGCCTTGTGTAGGGGTTGGAACTGTATCTGGGGTTGAGAGAGTGAAAGTTTTCCCAAAAGCCTAAGTTGTTCCTGGATTGTTACTATACTTTCATTTTGGTAGTTACTGGTACTTTAATCAGGTGAACAGAGTTTGTGATAAATGAGCATTTTTTCTCTTAGGCATCAGAGCTTTTATTTGTGGAAATGCTGTTGATTTTTGTGGTGTTCTGAAACATCTCTGTATTCTTTAGCTTTGTTATGATACATTACAAATACTAGTCTAATTTGGGGTATTTGTTGCTTGCTTCCCAAGTTCTTTATTGGTGAAAACATGAATCCAGATGGTATGGTTGCTCTCCTGGACTACCGTGAGGATGGTGTGACCCCATATATGATTTTCTTTAAGGATGGTTTAGAAATGGAAAAATGTGTAAGTATGATGAGGAAGTGTTTTGAAATCAGTAATGTAAAAATGAAGATATTTTAGGTGCAGTTCTCACTGTTTCATGATACTGGGATAGTTAGAATAGATTCTGTAGCATTCCTCTTAAAAAAAAGAGCACATGGATCTAGTTTTTGTTTCCATGTGTAAAAGATCCTTGTAGTGTAAGAAGGCTTAGAATCTTGATTATTTATGGAAAACAATTTTGTTACTTTATTTATCTTTTTTTTTTTTTTTTTTTGTAGAGAGTTTTACTTTATCACCCTCGGTAGAGTGCTGTGGCGTCACAACTCCCAGCAACCTCCAAATCCTGAGCTTAGGCAATTCTCTTGCCTCAGCCAGCCTCCTGAGTAACTGGGACTACAGGTGCCCGCCACAACGCCCGGCTGTTTTTTGTTGTTGTTGCAGTTTGGCCAGGCCTGGGTTTGAACCCACCATCCTCAGTATATGGGGCACCCTTCCGCACCCTACCCACTGAGCCACAGGCGCCACCCTTATTACTTATATTTTGCTACACATGCATGAGAATCAAGGTTTTTCATTTTGGTTTAATGATAAAACAAATCTGATCATTGAAAGCCTTAGGACATTACTAGTTTTTAGTAAATAATAGCTGACTACTAAACCAGCATGCAAATAGCTTTAGTAGTATTAAATAATCACTGCTCTGTAAGGAGATGCTTAGCTGTACAGTAAAGACACCATTATGCTAATTTTTTTCTTAGGCTTCTGTATAAGGAATGGAATACATTTAAGGATGTATTGAACAAGATTAGAGGCAGCAACAGATAAAAATTAGAAGGGGGTTATTCAGATGATATTTAAGGTTTTGGTTGGTAGAACAGTGTTACTGTAAAATGTCTCAAGATGTAGAACTTCTGATGTAGTAAGGATATTCTGCATCCACTGATAGACCTTGAACAATTTGCTGTTGTTCTTTTGGTTTGCACTAGGATGCAAAAGAAAAAATATTCCCTGCGCTTTCTGTCTGTCTTTGTGGCGGCTCAGATTGAATTAGGGAATACATTTGTAGCCTAAAAAAATGTTGAATTGCTCTGATTAGGGGAAATATAAATACAATCTTCCTTGTTTTTACAGTAACAAATTTGGCAATTACTTTGGATCTATCACCTGTCATCATAACTGGCTGCTGCTTGTCATCCACACAACACCAGGACTTAAGACAAATGGGACTGATGTCATCTTGAGCTCTTCATTTATTTTGACCGTGATTTATTTGGAGTGGAGGCATTGTTTTTAAGGAAAAACATGTCATGTAGGTTGTTTAAAAATAAAATACATTTAAACTCATTCGAGAGAATGCCTTTTAGTTTAATACACGTTTAAACTAAATCCATCCTGTAGTGTTCCTGGAGAAGCTAGAGACTGGTTGTAGGCCACTACTAGAAAGCATAAGACGTGTCATCAGATAAATTCTACAGTGGAAACCACTCCTGAGACTGGATATAAAGGAATCAAAAGTTTTAATTTTGAGTTACAGTAAAGGGAGAGACCATGCTCATAGCAGTGCCAACACTTGAAGTGGAGCCTTAACACATTTCATCACCTACAACGGAAGTAGTAACTGTGGAAGAAATTACCAAGAGAATAAAAAGAGACTAATTCAGTTGGAAGCAAAGTATTGTCTCAGCTTTTTTAACATTAATCAAGTAGAACCGAGTCTCCTGGAATGATGTCAAACTCCCTGTAAATTGGATGGGGGTTGGCAAACTGGTCTGTTCTGCCACCTGTGTTTTGTTCAACTCTAAGGTGGCAGTAGCATTTTTAAATGGTTGGGTGTGGGGGAAGAATACCTCATGGAATGTAAGATTTAAATTTTTTGATTTTACTGGAATACTCAAGCTGATTGATGGACTGACTGGCTGTCACTACAAGAGCAGAGTTGAGTGTAACGGGACAGTAGGGCCTATAATCCCTAAAATAATCATGCTGCCTTTGTATGAAGTTTGCTAGCCTCTCCTTTATAAGGTGGGTTAGCTGGTGGGTAGAAATGGGCTGGAGTCTGTTAAGACCTGTGGATCTGGTGGCACTTGTGGCTCAGTGGCTAGGGTGGCAGGTTCAAACCCTGCCCTGACCAAACTGCAACAACAACAAAAAGACCTGTGGATCTGGTGGCGACTGAAGAAATACAAACTTAGAAACAATAAGAAAGAGATGAGACTCCTAGAATTTTAAGTAGGACCACTGCCCACTTGTGTGTCTGGAAGTAACCCACTCAGCTTTTATTGCAGGCTATTTGCTCATTAGCCCAAAGGGTAAGCTGAGAAGGGGAATAAAGATGCCAGTAGTTTCTCTGAATGGGCATATTAGGTCCTATTGTTTCGATAATCATTAAGGGGCTGAGCAGTGTTGAGAAATTGGGATCGGAGTCTTGTGTAGGGGAAGTCTTGTCTGAGGTCACACACAGGTTCCTAGGGCAGAATTGAACTTTCCTAGTTCACTGTGGAGTAAAACTCCTCTGTTGTCAATCTGTTCTGAGTAATCAGTGGGAGAGAGGAATTTTCCTCTCACCACCACCACAGAGGCTCTTCCTCTGTGATAAGGGATATTATGTCCTGCCAGTATTTTAGGGTTCCAGCTGTTTCCTTGATCTCTGCCCCAGTCAAATACAAATCTCCACTGTGGGTATTTGTTTTGTCTGTTTACCTAGTTAGTGTATTTTTCCAGGCCTTGCTACAGCATTTTCTGCGGCCATTATTCCTGAGTGTTTGCAGACCCAGCAGGGGTGTTAGTAAGTTTAAACCCCCCCATAGGTCAGAGTTCTAGGAAAAGCAGAAAAATTGCTCTGATAAGAAATTTAGCCGTGGGCTCAGTGCCTGGAGCACAATGGTTAGGGTGTGGCCACATACACTGAGGTTGGAGGGTTCAAACCTGGCCTGGGTCTGCTAAAACAGTGACAACTTCAACAAAAAATAGCTGGGTATTGTGGCGGGTGCCTGTAGTCCCAGCTACTTGGGAGGCTGAGGCAAAAGAATTGCTTAAACACGAGTTTGAGGCTGCTGTGAGGTGTGACACAACAGCACTCTACTGAGGGTGATATAGACTCTGTCTCAAAAAAAAAAAATGAAAGAAATTTATCAGTGGCTGGTTTAAAATTAAACTAGCTGACTTTGTTCTGCCTCACTCAGCTTTTTTTATTTTCCCCTTTTTCTGGGGATGTTTTCCCTTGCCAAGAATGGGGTCTTTGGTCCCCATTCTGCCTGCATCCAGGATTGTGGGTGCAGAATGATGAAAATGCATCTCTGACAGGTCTGTAGCAGTGCTGTCTGCTGCTAAGGTTTGTAATACAGATGCAAAAGACGTGTCCTTGTGCTTTCTGTCTGCCTGATTGTGGTGGCCAAGATTGAGTAAAGGAATACAGGGAAAAAATGGAGAATTTTCACAACCCAAAATAACCTTCCTTGTAAATAGTGAAGAACCAACCTATCCCCACCCCCACCCCACCCCCGAGAACCTAAAGTTTTGAGTTTACGTTAGAAGTGGTGGGAAATACTCCTCTACCACCCTTATATGATTGGTTACACTTGTAAAAGCTTAAAGGTTAAAACTAATAAAAAGCCAGAAACTCTTGGGTCCCTTTGGACTTATGAATCCAGTGATTTTTGCAATCTGCAATTTGCTCTAGCAATTGCAAAGTCCATAGTGCCCAAAACCTAAGGTAGATACCAGTTTATTCGTGCCCCCTGGTGATTAGAGGAAGTAAATTCAAGTAAGTATTGGAGACTGAACTTGACCGTTTTAAGCATTCTGATTGCTGACATTATAGGAAGAAGGCGGCGCCGGTAGCTTAGTAGGTAGGGTGCCAGCCACATACAGCAAGGCTGGCGAGTTCAAACATCGCCCAGGCCAGCTAAAACAACAATAACAACAATAAAAATAGCTGGGTGTTGTGGCGGGCAGCTCTCAGCTACTTGGGAGGCTGAGGGAAGAGAATTGCTTGAGTCCAAGAGTTTGAGGTTGCCATGAGCTGTGACGCCATGGCACTACGCAGCTTGAGACTCTGTCTCAAAAAAAAAGATAGGAAGAAGAGTCTGATCTAGTAGGCCACTTGTCCTCTGAAATATACTAACTTCAATTCTCTGTTTTCAGTGCTGTAAAAACCGTGATAACTTGGTGAGGGAGAGAGGGTCTTTTTTTTTTTTGCAGTTTTTGGCTGGGGCTGGATTTGAACCCACCACCTCCAGCATATGGGGCCAGCACCTTACTCCTTCAAGCAACAGGCGCCGCCCGAGAGAGAGGATCTTGAAGTAATGTCTGAGCTAAAACCCAGTTGGTGAGTTAGCCTCTGAAGTGAAGGCTAGAGGGTGCTGGCAGGACCTGGCTCTCATGGTCCTGCCAGCTTGTTTTGAAACTTCAGATCTACAGTCACAGTCCCTGTTTACCTGCAATATTCTTTATGCCTGTATTCCAACATGTAGATCCAACCAAGTTTCATACATTATCTAGTGTTTAACCAGAACTGACCAACCCAGTTTTCATGATGAAGTTTTAAGATCCTAGGTAGTTGGCCGAGAGTGGTGGCTCATGTTTGTAATCCTAGCACTCTGGAAAGCCAAGGTGGGTAGGTTGCCTGAGCTGTAGAAAAACTGAGGGCTCAGGGCCCATAGCAAAGTGGTTATAACGCCAGCTGCAAACACCAAGGCTGTTGGGTTCTGGCCCGAGCCAGCTAAGCAACAACGACAACTGCAACAGAAAAATAGCTGGGCATTGTGGCGGGCGCCTGTAGTCCTGGCTGCTCGGGATTAAGATTCTAGGTAGTTGGCCGAGAGTGGTGGCAAGAGAATCACTTAAGCCCAAGAGTTTGAGGTTGCTGTGAGCTATGAAGCCACAGCACTCTACCAAGGGCAACATAATGAGACTCTGTCTCAAAAAAAAAGAAAAAAAAAAAACTGAGGCAAGAGGATCACTTGAGCCTGAGTTGGAGGTTGCTGTGAGCTATGATGCAACAGGGTGACAGCTTGAGACTCTGTCTCACAAAATAAAAAAGTTCTAGGTAGTTGTCCTTTAGGCTGCCCCTCATTTTCTTTTTCTAAGCTTATTTAACATTGAGTAAATAGCTGGGCACGGTGGCTCACGCCTGTAATCCCAGCACTTGGGAGGCTGAGGTGGGTAGATTGCCTGAGCTCACAGTTTCAAGACCAGCCTGAGCCAGAGCAAGACTTCATCTCTAAAAATAGCTGGGTGTTGGGGTGGGCGCCTATTGTCCCAGCTACTTGGGAGGCTTAGACAAGAAAATCACTTAAGCCCAGGAGTTTCAGGTTGCTGTGAGCACCGCACTCTACCAAGGATGACAACGTGAGACTCTGTTTTAAAAAAAAAAAAAAAAATCGAGTAAGTAGAACCAACTCCTAGAGTCAGGTTAAAGCATTCTGCATAAAAGTAACAGGTAATGTGTATTTCTGTATACGTTAGAGCAGCTGTGGCTCACAAACCATAGGAACTGTATTAAAGGGCCGCGGCATTAGGAAGGTTGAAAACCACTGCTTTAGAGGCATACAACATTTTTTTTATTAATCTCATTGATTCTAAATTTGACACAGGCATGTTTCTATTGGCCTGTGGGCCCTGGGCTTTGTTTCACATGTGGAGAACAGTTGAATGGAGGAGGAGGACTGGGTTGTCTAGGAAGGCCCTGGGGATGTGACATTTGAGAGCAGGTTTGAAGTTAATGGAAGTAGGCTACATGGGTTTGGGGGCAGACTACTCTAGGCCAAGAGAACAATAAATAGAAACCTGTTCTGGGAACAGGGTGGCCACTGCTGACCCAAGAAGGCAAAAGGGAAGAGTTGAGGAAGAGAAGAGCACAGGGCAAAAGATGGTTTGGGCTGCTGGGTAGCAGGGTAAAAGCATACTGCAATGAAGTGTGTGGTGCAGTTTTCTTAAGGGAGGTGATAATGGCTTAGTCTAGGGTGGTAGTAAAAGGGTTTGGTGCTAAAGGATTGAATGACAAGTATTTTGGCCTGAGTATTCATAGGGTGTTGGTATTGAGATGGAACAATTATGAGGATGGAGAATCGAGAATTTGGTTTTGCGGCCAAGTGTGGCTAACGCCTGTAGTGCTAACACTTTGGGGCAGAGACTATGGAGGGAAGATGGCTTGAACCCAATATAGGCAATCTTGAGACCCCTGTCTCTACAAAAAGGGTTTGGTTTTGGATGGGTTAAATTTGAGATGCTAATTTCTTGTTAAAATGAACTGGTTAGGTAGTTGAGTTTTTGTGGGTTTTGATAAGTTTTTTTGTCTGAGATATAGTCTTTTTTTTTTTTTTTTAGAGACAGTCTCACTTTGTCACCCTCGGTAGAGTGCTGTGGCATCACAGCTCACAGCAACCATCAGCTCTTGGGCTAGGGAGATTCTCTTGCCTCAGCCTCCCGAGTTGCTAGGACTACAGGCACTGGCCACAATGCCTGGCTATTTTTGTTGCAGTTGCCACTTCTGTTTTAGCTGGCTGGGGCCAGGTTCAAACACATCACCCTTGTATACGGGGCCAGCGCCCTACCCACTGAGCCACAGGCACCACCTGAGATACAGTTTTAATTCTGTTGCTTAGGTTAGAGTGCCATGGCAGTGGCCAAACTCACAGCAACCTCCAACTCCTGGGTTCAAGCCATCCTCCTGCCTCAGCTTCCTGTGTAGCTGGGACTACAGGTGCCTGTCACAACACCTGGCTAACTTTTCTGTTATTAGTAGAGATGGGGTCTTGTTCAAGCAGTCCTCCAGTCTCAGCCTCCCAGAGTGTTAGGATTATAGGTGAGAGACACCACACTCAGCTGAAAGAGAAGTTTATTAATGTGCTGGCAAATGAGGCTGGCAGACTCAAAAAATTCCAGGGTCCTGCATTTGAACAGAAGCACAGAGCATCTGAATGTTCTGATTAATCCCATTTTGGACTAAGAATGTCAAGGCCTCTTCCTAGATGAATCCCATCTTCAGCTAAAATGGTCTGATGACCTGCACCCAGACCCTTCCTTTGAGCTATCCTGTGTCACAAAGAGCAAAAGACATTCCCCCGACCACTGTCCTGAGGCAGGGATGCAGGTTTTAGGCTTTTTAAAAAGAGTAAAGGAATTTTGAAGAGAAAATACATTTCCCAACTTCCCCCATCCCCTTTTTTCTCCAAGCTGTTCTCTGTTAAATATTTCCCACTGTCAATTTACCCTTATCTATAGGACGAGGGGCAACATAGTGCTTAACCTCGGTGCTAGGGAGGGTCTCATTTAGGGGCTTAACTGCTTCTAAAGGGATAACCTCAGCCAGAGGAGGGTAAGTGGCAGTGTCTTATTCCACATTAGGTGTGTTCTATGAAATTTTCCTTCTAAATACAGGGCTTTGCTTACTTGCTGGGTCCTCTGCTACCAAGGAGGGTCCATTTCTACTGGGATTCACTCATGGGTGAGCACAGGACACGCAAGTGCAGACAGGAAGCAAGGTTCCCCGCTATGGACACCACCATGGAGTAACCAAACACGGTGATTTCCTTGAGGAGGAGCTGCTGAGCTGCCCTGCAGCTGCCTGCCCGTAGCATCCATCACCAGCATGCCATTCTCCATAGTGGCTGAGCTTTGAGTCTGGAAGAGCAAAGAAGTCTACACTGGAGAATTCAATTACAGTGGGAAGATAATAGGTGACATCCAAAGCCATAACACTGGATGAGGACACACCATGAGCATAAACTCATCCCTGAGAACAAGCAAAGGTGATTAAGAACGAACTTCCCCTGAGGTAAGAGAACCAAAGGGGGACTTTCGCAGAGGTCAAGTAGAAAAAAAGTTTTAGGAAGGAGAAACAGTCAACAGGATTACCTTTTGCAAATTTGTTAAGTGACAAAAGGACAGGGAAGTAAACAACTGTTGGATTTCAGTAGAGGGGAGAAAAGCCTAATTAAAATGGGTTCACAAGAACAACATTCATAGGCATCACTTGAATCATTGGAATTTTTTTCTTAAAATAGGCCAGGCACAATGGCTCACAGCTGGAATTCTAGCACCCTGGAAGGGTAAGGCAGGTGAATTACCTGAGCTCAGGAGTTTTAGACCAGCCTGAGAAAGAGCAAGACCTGGTCTCTAAAAAACTAGCTATACCTGTAGTCCCAGCTATTCAGGAGGCTAAAGCAAGAGGAGTGCTTAACCCTAAGAGTTTAAGGTTGCTGTGAGCTATAAACTACAGCATTCTACCCAGGGCCACAGAGTGAGACTCTGTCTCAAAAAAAAATTTTTTTTTTCTTAAAATCTAGTTAAATCGGCAGCACCCATAGGTCAGTGGGTAGGACGTTGGCCACATGCACTGAGGCTGGCAGGTTCAAACCCAGCCCAGGCCAGCTAAAATCAACAATGACAACTGCAACAAAAAATAGCTGGGTGTT